TGGATTGATATTACGTTTAGTCAAAAACATTTTCAATTCTGCAAAATGAAGCATAACAAAAACACTTGTACTTTTGTGTGTGTGTGTGTGTTTGCTTGAGAGAAAATGAAAGACAACCGATATGACATCTGGTGTGCTAACCACTCTGGTGGACACACGACATGAAAGAATCAGAGGGGAAATGAGAGGACAGTATAGTGCTGGCATTCACTCTCACCCTGACAAAAAACCTTGTATCAGCTCAGTGAATCCAATCAAACTATATTGATATATTTTCAAAAAAATGTTGTTGAGACATGAGATATTGAATTTGATATATAAAGCTGCCATGTTATTTTTTTTATAAAAAAAAAGTGTGCCGCCAAGCTGATTGTGAAGCCATCGCCCAACCATTATCTTTATTGCACTTTGTATGCCTCAACAAGCTTACGAGTTTCTTACGCATCTATGCACAATAAATACAATAAAATTCATTAATTTGTTATTTGAAGAAAGATATGATCTCATTTATGTCAACATGCATAGCCATATACCTACATCATTATCTGAAAAATAGCCATATACCTACATTGCCATCCGGCATGTACCAATCTATAGCTAAGACTATCCTCTCTGTGCACACCCTTTTTTTCAAGTGTCTATACGCATACCCACATGAGGCATCTATGTGTATATGGTCAGCATTGGTGCTAGTACCGAATAAAAACTTTATATCATCACCTACATGATAAGGATAAAGAGTTCTGTTTTATGAAGCCCCTCTTAAAGTATATGCATTATATTCTCAACCCCTTTTTTTCTTTTTTTCAATTTTAGTATACATGGACAACTGAAAAATACCGAAATTTGAATTTACTACGAGAAAGAGAGGACATAGACATATTCCAAAAAATAGGTGGTAATTGGCTAGGAATGGACAGATTGTGACACGATTACGATATCTCACCAATTGGGCTATGGATTCATCTACCTATTCGGTATGGTACTATATGTTGACATATTCATACCGTGAACGATGGTCTTATATATTCATTCATTCTACCTGCAAATCTGACTTTATATTATATGGTTTTATATTGCTCCCTCCTAAAATAAAATATAATTATTTCTAACTACGAAAAGACATGGAGGGAGTATATAGTTAATTAGTTGGTTAAATCTCAAATTTTACATATGGGCTAGGTAGTTTATTTTTCGATAAACTATACAGTTTCTACTTTATAGTTTTTTTTTCATGGACGATTATTTCCAATAAACCAAGATTTTTGAAAATAGCAATATCCTAGTCAAAAATGAAAAAAAAATATTGTTTCATTCCATACATTATATTTGTATGATTTAAATTCTTCCAAGATTCGTGTAATATTTTTTTTCTTTTTGTCCTTGAGTCCCACCTCCCTCAACGTCATCATCATAATAGTTGTCCCACGCTGGAGCATTTTGGCAAGACCCTTTCTCTTCGCCTTTGACGTTGTCGTCTCACTTCTTCATTAGGTGGACTCGCCTCTCAATCTCCTCTTCTAGCCTCCATGATTATGATGACCTCTCCTCCCACACATACTAACACAACGCTCACCACATCACACTTCCTGACATATATAATCAATATGCTTCTGGCCTAGTCACCACCACCGCTTTCGCATCGTTGAGTAAGAATCCTCGGCCATTATCCCTTGTCTTTTCCTCGCCTTCTTTGTCAGCATGGGCGGCTCAAGATAGAACGGAATGTCCCAACCATTGGATTGAGATCCAATATATATATATATATATATATATATAGCAAAACCAAAATAAAATATCATCGCACAAGTGTTTTTTTCTCTTTTGCTAATGTCAATAATCTTTTGTCAAATCTGATATGCCCACCATAGCAAAAACAAGGAAAGAAAAACTTGTGTGATGACATTCTGCGCAATCCCACCCTCGTCGATGACAATTCGCACAATTGACTTTTTGTCAATAGTGAAACATATATTTTCTTGAAAGGAAATAATCAATAGCAGCCAAAAACAATGTAACAAACCGCCCTCCAAATCGAGTTGGCCAGCCAACCGAACGCTATTGCGGCTCTTTCTTGCGTCCTCCCCGTGGATCGCAAAGGTGGCATGCTCCTGATAGAGAGCAGCAGCGTGCGTGACACGTACTTTATGAATAGCGCGTGTCCGTTGGATGGATGCACCGAGCATCCCCGTGCGGTGCGGCCCGTTGGTCCTCACTCTCTATCTATCAATAAGTACTCTAGCTATGTACACATCTTGTGTATCGTCATGCTTTGCTAACTTCTAGAAACGAAATCTGCCTTGTTTTCTTCTCTCTTTTTTTTCCTAGCTAGATCGATCTATCGATTGTGCTACACTTCCTCCGTCCTAAAATAAGTTTTTTTTCACCCATCCCATACATATCAGTACAAAATAAAAAAAACTAAAATAACCTCACCTTATCAAATGCCAATACAATTACTCATTTCTTTATCTACTTCCAATGTATTTATAGCCTGCTTTCACAAACTTCGCTATAATAATTGCTAAAATAAACTTATGTTAAGATAAATGGGAGAGATAAAAAAAATAAACTTATTCTAATAGAGGGAGTAGCTAACTCCATACTTTTACTTATCGATCTGTGTGTCTGATCAGCAACTTCGTTTTCTTTGCTAACGGGGGAGATCATATATAGCTAACCGGGCAGGTCATAAATGATCTCGGTTGTCTCTTCTCACCATGTTTATTGTCTTTTTGTTACTTTTTTTTCGTTGGGCATTTGGTCATCGTAGGATGTATGAACAACTGATCCAAGCATGTAACATATCCACCATGCTTGCTTGCTTTTTTTTTTGTTGAGTGTACGGTTGCTAAACCAAATATACGTTGTATAGTTCATTAAATTGGGGGTACTAGACTAGATGAGAGTAGAGATTGATACCCGTGCAATGTCATCATCGAGCTATATATTGCCGCTGTATTGCTAGCTATTAAATAACCTTTATTATGAGTTTGTTATTTCGCTAGCTAGTATAACATACAAATGGTTTAATTGGTATTTTCTCGAGGAAAACCAAAGTTCTATATTTATTTCGACGAAAACGTTAAGTTTTATAATAGATGCTGCCTTTCTAACATTGCTATTTAAATCATTTTATCAGCTCATCTAAAACTTATAATAAAACCAATAAGGTTTTACATGCCTAATGTTCCTACTTTCTAGTTTGATATTCTCCAATCTATGACGCGACGCGATATGGTCGGTGTTGGGTGATCGATACTATTCTGTTTTGGCGTCAATTTTCACCAACTATAGCTTGATTAATTATTTATCTTTATCTCTTCCCATTTAAGTTAAGACAGCAATTGCATGCAACTTCACAACGAAGAAAGCATGCGCGAGCTAGCTAGGAGGATTTGCACATTAAGTTTTTACACCAAATATAGAGACGATATATATTTGGATCATCAATTAATTTCCGCAAAAACTTTAGGCAAGACACATGCATGAACGGACGCTTTCCTCACCAAAAATTATGGCCTCGTTATTTATTATTTTCCCTTCCTGCTAATTTTGACCCCTTTATATGCGTTACTCCCTCTGATGTATGACAAATTTTTTCGTTTGTTTATCAGTTGAAAAATATTTTGCAATTAAAATTATTTAAAAGGTGTCGCAATGTAACAACATATACTTTTTTTAATGGATGCAATACACCTCTTTTAAATAATTTTGTCTTTCCATACCTTGCTTTTTGAATTTTTTTTTCTTAATCCAATTAGTACAGGTGTACAACTAGAATGCAATTGTCTATAGTTATGAAACTTTAGCTGTATTTTGGATTCTCTACAGTAACATTAATATGAGTCCGCTACCGTATTTTAATGCAAGAAATAGCGCCCATTGTATTTGTATCCTGTACAGCTGGCTCAGATAAACCAAACGCTTGTCACTTTAAAGCAAATCACTACCCTTGATAAAAAAAACTTCCATGTTGTTTTTGACACTTTTCAAGTCAAACTTTAAAATTATATATATTCACATCTATATGTTTTTATATTTAGATTGGGCATATGAATTTAATATGCATATATGCTATATTTTCTTATAATAGTTTTTTTTATAACACCATGGTTTGTCAGTTGAAAACATTTAGTAATACAAATTAGCCACTAAAATTATTTTAAAGACAATGTCGTTGCTCACAAGTGGGAAACATGTTTTTTTAATGGAGGTGGTACACCATTTTTAAAAGTATACTTTTGCCTTTCGATACCTTAATTCTCGATATTTTTTCTTTTCACTCCCATTCGCTTATGAACATATAGTGGAATATAATTGGAATATAATTATATGTAGCTATGAAACTTTAGATGTATCGGGATTCTCCGCAATAACATTAATATGTATGCGATAATGTATTTTAATGCATGAAGTAGTGTATAGCGGATTTGTATCCCGTACAGCTGGTCCAGATTAACCAAACGTATATCTCTTTAAAGCAAATTTACTGCCTCCGATACGAAACGTTTTATTTTTGGACACTTTTCATGTCAAACTTTAATAATCCGTATCTTTTGGAATTTTTAGATTTGATATATGCATCAATACAGGTTGCCTCAAATACTAATTTCACAGTATTCTAATTCTTTGAGTTCTAAAATATTTTGCAATAGAAATTAGCGATATAATCATCATATTTTAAAGACAATATCTACATATAAAAACAATGTGATTTAATGGATACAAGAAGTGTTAAAATTAAGAAATCTATTTTTTACTCCTTAGAAAAAAAAATCTCTTTTCATCCTCTCTACATTGCCTACCCGGGTCTCCATAATTGAGTGAAAACCGCACCGGTCAATTAAGAAAGAAATATAAAAATTGGAGATCTCCTGGAAAAAGGAGAAAGGTTTAATGAATTTTATTTACTCCAGGCGGTTTTTTTTCCTTCTTATTCTGTTTCTGGTTGCTTTCTCACTCTAGGCAGCCAACCTGACCACCATAAATACTTCTCTCCCTTCTCTGCAATCGCCTCATTTGTTGCCTAGCTAATTCGCGTCATTCATCTCCTCCTCCTTATATTAGGCGCGCACCGCACGCGTGCTCATCCCGATCGCCATGGCCGTCGACGCGCACCACCTGCACCGCCTCCCACCACCGATCCAGCCTGCTGAATCCATGTTCTCGCCGAGGCAGCCTTGTTTCGGCGCCGCCGCCGGCGAGGTTGTCGTCGGCGGCGCCGGTGGCGCGGTGATGGCGGGGCTTTGCCAGGAGGAGCAGCTGGTGCAGGGGTACCGCCAGGTGTTTGTTGGAGGTGGTGGGGTGAGGCAGCCGGCGGCGGCGGAGGTGATGAGGCAGTACTCGCAGGTGTGCGCGGCGGCGGCGGACGCGGCGGAGAGCGGCGTCACGTTCGGCGGCGGGCAGGAGGCGGCGGCGCCGAGGAAGAGGAAGCGCGCCGAGGTGCCGGTGGTTCTTGGCGCCGCGGGCGACGTGGCCGTGGCGGCGCAGGCTCGCCAGCAGCTGGTCGACGTCGACCGCCTCGTGCTCCACCATGTAAGTTGGTTTTTCTCCTTCCGGCGCGACGCGCTCGCCGCCATGCGCATGCATGTTGCTGATCCCGTGGCGATGCGTGCAGGCGGCGAAGATGTGGGCGGAGCTTGCGGAGCAGAGGGGGAGGCACGCGAGGCAGATGGTGGCCACCGTGGAGGCCGCGGCGGCGAGGCGGCTGAGGGCCAAGGACGAGGAGATCGAGCGGATCGGTCGCCTCAACTGGGCGCTCGAGGAGCGCCTCAAGGGCATGTACGTCGAGGCGCAGGTGTGGCGCGACCTCGCGCAGTCCAACGAGGCCACCGCCAACGCCCTCCGCGGCGAGCTCGAGCACGTCCTCGACGCCCACGCGCGCCGCGGCGCCGACCACGGCGACGGCGACGACGCCGAGTCCTGCTGCTACGGCGAGAACGACGTGCTCGCGCGCGCCGCCGGCGACGGCGAGGCGGCGTCGGCCGAGCGGCGCTGCAAGGGGTGCGGCGAGGCGGCGGCCGTGGTGCTGCTCCTGCCGTGCCGGCACCTGTGCGCGTGCGCGCCGTGCGCGGCGGCGGCGGCGGCGTGCCCGGCGTGCGGGTGCGCCAAGAATGGCAGCGTCAGCGTCAACTTTTCGTGAGCGATGGCGGAGGGAAAGGAGTAATAGCAATTAGACTAGATTTTTTTTCTTTTCTTTTCTTTTTTTTCTCTCTCTCCTCCGTTTTTTTTCTTTTCTGTTTTGGTTTAGCTGATGGGGATAATAGGGCGATATGGTCTAATGATGTGGATATGAGGGGATGAGTTTTCCTTTTTTGTGTTGGATCAATTTGATCAACAAGGAAAAAAAACATAGGAATTTGGTAACCTTCAAATCAAAATTGTTGCTTCGATTTTCTAGCTTCCTTAATTAATTATATTTTTTAGTTTATTTTCATGATATATATATACATGACATTAGAAATGACTGATCAGCTGCATGCACGGGATACTTGTGTTTTTTTTTCTTTACAATATTTTCAAACTCGAATTTGATCCGCAACCAAACTGCTAGATGAAAAATCCTTTGACATTTATACTTCGTCTATCTTCCAAGAAGAAAGAAGTCTGACGAATCATAGACATCGTACCATGTGCCTCTCTTTTGTCATCATGGTGGTTGGCTGTAACTTATTCGCTTACGTCTAATATACAAAAAATATATCTTTAACATTTTTAACTTTGTTTTTTCTCATGCAATGCAAGCATGCAACCATTTTAGTTTTACCTGAAAACTCTGCATTTATACGCGTACATTACGCTAATCTGCATGCGGTCGTTTTACTTGATGCCAATTTGTTTTTTCTTCAGACTCCAGAGACCAGGGCTTTAAATTTTAATATATTTTGCTCGGATTTCCGCGTTTAATTAATTAGTCGTTTCCCGGCCGGTGTATTTACTGCAAACCGCGTGGCACAATGGTAGTAAGAGAGACTTTTTTTTCACGAACACGTGCAGTATAATACGACAGTCGTAAAATATAGTATAACACATATATTGATGTATATGTGATCGGTCATGATCAGATCATGCAAGAAGAAGCAATCAATCAAAGAATCAAAGGAAATGATCTGATCGACTACTGCTGGTATTAAATATATACTACTGTGCATATATATATATATATACGCAGATCGAGCGAGCTAGCATTTGTAGCGTCAATTTCACGTGACACGTATGTTGGATTCATACATTTTACTAGAATAGAGATATGTTTAATTAATTTGATACTAGCTATTTTGATAGCAAGTAGAGAAGAAGATGAAGAGATCTAAGTCGCCGATCGACACGCACGACAGATCGATCGAGAAGAGAAAAGAATAGAAGAGACGAAGGAAGAAGCAGGGATGCATGGGCTTGAATACATACACATAAATATGTGTATACATGACACTATTATAGAAATGATTTTTTTATACGAGATCCCCGTTAGGTTGCAACGGTAGTTAACGTAGCAAAGGTATAGCTGAAGTAGAAATATAGAGCCTGGCTGGCAGTGGCCCCCTGTATACTGTACCAGCTTAATTAGCTGATGCAGAGTTTTGTTTAGAGAAGCGTAGTTTTTTACCGGCCTCTACATCCATCTGATTGCAGAGATAAGTGCTTTGCAAATTGCAGTAGCTTATATTATCTGCAGATCGATCGACACATAGCATGCATCAGCAGCAGCAGATCGATCGATCGGTCACCAGCGTAGCAGCAGGTGACAGACAGACAACATACACAATCAGATTCAGATCGATATCTCTACGTACACAGCAGTAGTAACAATAAGGAAACAACAATGCAAGTACGAATTGCACATTATTATTCACTAACACATCTATGATTGGACGCAGATGTAGTACATGCCTCGGTAGTGCTACCTCCATCCAAAAAGAATACAATTTTCATGTTTAACATTTATTTGATTGTTCATTTTATTTCAATTTTTTATATGATTAGTATTTTTATTATTATTAGATGATAAAATATAAATAGTATTTTATGTGTGACTAATTTTCTTATTTTCTTTTTATAAATTTTTTAAATAAAACGGACGGTTAAAAGTTGAACACGGTACGACGGAGGTAGTAATTTGGTTCGCCGCCGTACGTACAGTACATGTGGAGTCTATATATCTCGTATATATACGTGTCGTCGTAAGAGCGCGTGTTGATGGGAAAGGTCGTCGTCGACTGGCCGGCCAAGGTACGTACCTAGCCTAGCAATTTGTTAGATCGTGGGTTTTGGATCGGCGTTGCATGGGCAGTACAGGTGCATAGGGGGTTAGATTACACCGCCCGACGATTGGGACTGATCAGATCAAATTAAACCGCTCGGTTTCCATGGTATATATACGTACTCAGTTGACTAAAACGGATGGTGGTATCGATGCGAATGATCGGAAGAATTTCTCACATGATTCGATATAGTTCGGTCGGATAATACAACAAAATTCGAGTACAAAACGATGATCACCTAGTCGTAAGATTTCTCGGACATTCATCGTGATAAATTTAATAATGTAACATGGGTTTACGATAGTGGATCACATGCCGACATGCGTCTATATTAACGTACGTGTGTGCATCGCTCGCTTGCTCGGTCAGATTTGGATTCATGTTTAAGCTTGTTTTAAAAATTTTAAAAATTGGGATAGATATGATATACATGCATGGCACACACGTTTTTTTTTATAATTTTACTTCCATTTCTTTCTTCGCTCTTCAATTAATCTAAAAACATCATGTTCTTGATTTTCAAATCTAAAAACACTATGTTCTTTACTTCTCTTAGACTGTTGTCGCCTCACCTTTAGCTCACTCGTTGCTCCAGGCAGTCCTTAAGCTTGCATTTGCAATTGTGCCGTCATACTATACTCATCCATGGCTGCAGCAAAGAGTTCTGTGACCACCGCATCTATTATATACGTTAGACAGTCTAACGCCACCGCCATTGCTACTCCCAAGCTCGGGTTTTAAGGTAATGATCAATAGGATTTTGCATGATTCAATGGAATTATTCAAACGATATAACTGTGACAACCATGTGGTTTTTGAAATTTTATCAAGGTTAAACACCAAGCCTCTGATAGGTTTTTTGACGGTTAGATCATATGTGCTTGAGATAACTGGTTAATGCACGATATGTTTGCATCGATTAGTAGATTATAGATTATTCTTTATATGTTATTATAGTGTAAATTTATATTAGAATTATATTTGTGTTTACTCGATGAGTTTTCTTTGGGGCAATCGGGGTGCTATTGTTTTATTTTTCTAATTAACTCATGTACTTCCTTTTTTTAAAAAAAAAAGCTTGGAAGAACTTTTGCCGATCAAGGGCGGATGCACGAAAAAAATTAAAGGGACTAAACATACTAGGGGTGGTAAGATGATAACAAATTGTCTTTTATGAAAAATAAAATAAAAGAGGGCCAAAGCGGGCAAACCGGGAGGGGATGCTTTAGCCCACATATTGGATCCGCCTCTGAAAAAAAAAAGAATCAGATGCATTGCTTACATCCTTTCATGATAAAGTACACCCTTGTTGATGTATAGGTTGGGTTTTAATCAATTATTACAAAAATATCCCAATAAAAAGAAAAGAGCTCTTCAATAAACCCCTTATTATAGGAGTCATGATGTTTGCTTCTATTGTGCCAGCTGTGGCTCACTAGACAAAGAAGATATTCTTGGAAACACTCCCCTAGCTGGAGTACTGCAATTGTGGTATGGTTTTCTGGAACAACCTCTCTCCAGAATATTCAGCAATGTTAAGAATGGAGACATTTAACTATTTGACACTTTTAGATATGGCGTTTAATATTTTGTCACATAAGCCTATGTATCATATACGTGTAAGGGTCCACATGTTATAGACATGTGAATAATAAATTTTAAATACAACATCTAAAAGTGGCAAATAGTTAAATGCATCAGAATTAAAGATGTGATTCTTTATTGAAAATTTTGCCCTCTTGTTTTCCTTTCAGTGGTGGTACCTAGTGCAAATTATCATGTTCAAGAGCTACTCCCATCCGTCATAGATATTTGGTATTACTCACTGACATATACATTAAACCTCATCCTCCTACCGGCCGATATGCTAGTCACGCACCACTAAAGCGGTAGATGTGAGAAGCCTTCTCTCTTTTAAGTTTTTAGTCATCTTGCGCATGCTACATCTTGTGATGCCTGCCCCGTACGTGTGTGGGCTGTTGCGGCGGGGCTCTTTTGTTGGCTAGTAGTAGGTAGTATAGCCTAGTAGTGTGAACAGGTGCCGTCAAATCTGATATCATCATATCATCTCGATCATCAGACCCGTGTGTATCGCATGTTTCTTATCATCGGTAACACGAGTGATAAGGAGAAAGACCATAATATACGTGTCCCATCTACTAACTCAACGAGTAAATCTTGGTCAAACTGCCACATCAAAAGAAACCATTTTCCAAACCACACCGTTTTTCGAAGATAGGAAATGTGTTATATCTGGTTTTACAATTAAGGGAAGCAATTCAACCTGGAGTAAGAAATGAGGGACACAATAGACTTATTCCTAAAGGAATAAGTTCACCGGAAGTCCCTCAACTTAACAACGAGATTTTTCAAGGTCCTTTAATCATAAAACAAAAAATGTGTACCCCTAAACTCACACAAACCATGCAGTATATATGGGTGGTTTCGCTGACATGGCATCCTAGTCAGCAAAAAAAATAAAAAAAAGTACGTGGGGCACACATGTCAGCTGCACATCTATTTTTCTTCTCTTTTCTTCTGCTTCTCTTCACTTTTCTCTCCGGCGGCCGGCGGGCAGAGCGGCGATGGGCGAGTGGTGGGCGAGCACGGCGGCAACCGCCGTGCTCCTGCTGTTGGGCACGTCGAGGGCGAGGAACCCGGCGCGCCACTCGTCCTGCCTCGCTCGTCGTCGAGCGCATGCTGCAGGGGTGACGGCCGAAGCACCTCTCTCGGCATGGCAGGCGCCGCCGCGTCGCACCCCCTAGCCACAGCAGCGCCGTGGAAGCTCCGCTACTGCGGCGACGAGAACCGGGAGGACGCGGACGTGGACGCTAGGGGTGGGCAGAAAAAAACCGAACCGAAAGATCGAACAGAAAAGACCGAGACCGAGAAATTCGGTCATCAATTCGGTTCTAGATAGTGAAAGACCGAATTTTGTTCGGTCATTCGGTTAGTCTCCTCGGGTAACCGAATAGACCGAAAAGACCGAATTATCAAAAAAATGTCTAAATGCAACCTACAATCCACTATGTTTAATAGGATTAAACTCTAATTTTCACATCCCTACTTCTTCTAGGCATGCAACCTAATAAGAGTCTTTACTCATAAGTGCTTACGATTTTTTTTGTGATTTTTGTGTTGAAAATTTCCATTATTTCTTTGTATATATGAAAATGTTGTTGAATTTCGGTCAGGACCGAGACTGA